AAGATACCATTACGTTTTATTTGGTCTTTAACCCTTTCATTGCTTCTGAAACCATTCTCTTGTTCTCTAATACGATCATGGTGCTTTTAAACTTTACTCTCAATTTTGAGAGTGATTTTAGCCTAGGCCATTCTGGTAGCTTGGCCTTTAATCTGGAAAGAAATCAAGAAGTTATTTATTCAGACATGTACTTTCTTAAAAAGCACTATCAGGTATTTATGAGTCTATTATGAAATAGTTTTTAACAAATATTTGCTACTGGCAGAGCATGTCTAGGTGGTAATTTAACTGAGGTGCCTACCACAGTACATGATAGGTTTTAGAATATGCTTCATGGATTTTCAGAGAGATTATTTTGACTGAATGACTGTTCCTTAACTGCTAATGGTACTCGATGCTAGATATGTTCATTTTAAAGCAGACGTAATGTGCGTTGCAGTTGGCATGTTTCAGGTACTGACAGCTCACCAGATGCCTCAGTAGTGCAGTTTAGAATCACATCTTCACTTTTAAGAGATGTAAGAACTCTGAGATTCCGGGTTTGTGAGTGGCCCTGGAACTGCAGGCCTAGTGCAGTGTTGCCCTGTGCTGAGTGGTGAGATCATCCCCCTGAGAAATGTCAGCCGTCAGGTCCTCATCCTCCCCATTCCTATCACCACTTACATTTTGGTGGATCTTGACAAGTATGAAATACAAATATAGGCAAGACTGTAATCAAAAAGAGTGATTTTTCTCCCCCTAGGAATCCTCATTTCTAGATAATCAGGACAGCATCTCTCATTTTACTTTTTCATGTCTTTTCTGCTCCTCAAATCAAACATGTATGCTCTTTATTTAAATATCACCTGTGCAGAATCAGCAGTGGATTTTTGTTTCTAAGAAAAGCATAGCATTTAGGTGCTATGTGGGTTTCTTTAACACTGATTCCTACCAAGTTGAATCATTTTTAATGATTGTCTTCCCTGCCTCTATTACATACTTAGGCTTGTGAAATACTTTGATGCTACTGCTGCTGTGGTTTTAGGTTTGCTGTCTGGTATCCTGGTTCTTAATAAGAGATGAACATTGTTCCTGAGTTGACCATAATTAATAACAGAAAGGCTTTATATTTTCTTTTTAAGAAGGGAAGTGGAGCAGTGTCTGTGGCTGAAAGGAGTAGGGCGCTGGCCCCATATACCGGAGGTGATGGGTTCAAACCCAGCCCTGGCCAAAAAAAATAAAAACTATTTGCTATTAAGAAGGGAAGGGGCAGGGATGGGGAAAGGAAGAAGAAGGTAAAGGAGAAGGGAAGGCAATAACACAAAAGCTTTAATAGTGCTCTGCAAATAAAAACACCAGCATGACATTTTAGAGAGAGGATCAGAGTATTTTGAGTTCCCTTCATTTGCTTCAAGTATAAAATCAGAACTGTTGCCCTAATTCAGTGCCACTCACAAACCCAGTGCGGTGCCCCACTGACCAGTCACTCCTCTGGCCACCGTGCCCTTCCCTTTTCTGAGAATGTGCCAGGTTCACTCCCACCTGAAGACCTGCCTTGACTGGGCCATCTGCCTGGAGCTTCTCCCTGCTGTATTTCCCCCAGGGTCGCTCGCCCCTGTTTGTTGTTGGGGTCTCAGGGCAGACACCCTGTTAGAAGACTTACCAACCTGCAGTCACTCGGCAGTCATTTCCTATAGCGTTATGCTGTTTTTCCAGCAGAGCAGCTGTTATTTTAGTGGGGGGATTGACCTGTGTATCTGTCTAATTTATTTATTTTCTGTCCTCTCCATTGGAATACACCCTCCAAGAGGGCATGGGGCTTTCTGTCTGTTCTGCTCATTGCTCTCCTGTGCCTTTCACGGAAATATCTGTGCAACAAATGGAGATTAATGAAGGGCACAGGAAACAAGCCTTCACTGATGATTTTTCTCTGTGTGTGGTAATACTTGGACTTTCTCATGTTGTTTGATCATCTTGACTGTAGGAAATAAGTCAAGGTGATCAACACCGAGGCTGTCACCCTAAGGTCTGGCATTTAAGTACCCTGGCCTGTTTTTCAGGTTTGTACCAGTTAAATGCCACCTTGCTTGACCGATTACATGTGCTTGTGTCTCTTGGTGGTGTCTTGGCAGGTGGGGTCTGATTGGTCCCCAGAGAGAGGACTTCGTGGCTTCATTGCTGGATGGGGCTACTGGCCACTGGGAAACGGGTTCTGGGTAGGGAGGGTGTGTTGTCTGATAGTTTTGTGCTGAGTCAGTGCCCCACACCCACAGACAGCGTGCTGGACAGTGGACTGCCAACGTCTGTAGGGGACGTTTTCTGTAGCTGGGTGCTGTGCTGGTGAACTCAGATAAGCTTAAGCTGAGCACTCTCACCTAGGCCCTCCACAGCTCCAGCGGCCTGGCCTCCCTGCTCCTGAATGAACGTTAATAAGGCATTTTTTTTCTTTGTCTTTTTTTTTTTTGACACAGTCTCTCTCTCAGTCATGCTGAGTAGAGTGCCCTGTTGTCATAGCTCACAGCAGCCTTAAACTCCTGGGCTCAGGTGATCCTCTTTATCTCAGCCTCCCTAGTAGCTGGGACTACAGGCACCTACCAAAATGCCTGGCTAGTTTTTCTGTTTTCAGTAGAGATGGGGATCTCCCTGTTGCTCAGTCAGTTCTGGAACTCCTGAGCTCAGGCAGTCCACCTACCTTGGCCTCCCAGAGTTCTAGGGTTATAGGTTAGAGTCCTAGGGTTATAGGTGTTAGAGGGTTATAGGTTCGAGTCCTAGGGTTATAGCCATGCTTGGCTGCCTTTTTTCTTTTTCTTTTCTTTTCTTTTTTTTTTTTTGAGACAGAGTTTCACTTTGTCACCCCTGGTAGAGTGCCCTCGCATCATAGCTCACAGCAACCTGTAACTTTTTTATTTTTGAAACAGAGTCTCACTATGTTGCCCATGGTAATGTGCCGTGGCACCACAGCTCACAGCAACCTTTAGCTCTTGGGCTTAAGCTATTCTCTTGCCTCAGCCTCCCAAGTAGCTGGGACTACAGGCGCCCACCACAACACCCGGCTATTTTTAGAGATGGGGGGGGGTCTCGCTGTAGCTCAGGCTGGTCTCGAACCCTTGAGCTCAGGTGATCCACCCACTTTGGCCTCCCAAAGTGCTGGGATTACAGGTATGAGCCCCCTCGCCTGGCCCCATTGTTTTCATTCTAAAGGGACTTTTAGTTACTCTTCTCCTTTTTCTGTTTCTGCTCTTGCTGAGGAAACACTCCCCGTTGTACAATGGACGGAGCATTTTCCCAGGGAAGAGGAGAGAGTCGAGAATAATTGCTTTGACAGAACTGACACTGTTTTTCCTAAAGATTATGGGTTGATTCATTAGCAATTACTGCCTACTTTGTCAGAGATTTGAACAGTGAGTTTTTGTCTCACTTTGTCACACTTTATAAGTGCTCACTTTGTCACACTCTATAAGTGCTATAGTATCACAGCCCCCAGCAACCTCTAACTCTTGGACTTAAGTGATTCTTTTGCCTCAGCTTCCCAAGTAGTTGGGACCACAGGTGCCTGCTGTATTGCCCAGCTATGTTTTGGTTGTAGTTGTCATTGTTTGGCAGACCCAGGCTGGATTCAAACACGCCAGCTCTGGTGTATGGCTGGCGCCCTAGCTGCTGAGCTATAGGTGCCGAGCCGAACAGTGAGTTTTGATGCTTGATCTAGTGATTCAACCTAAAGTAAATTTTGTTGACTCATTGCACAGCCTTTTCTTGTCAGTTCAGATCTCAACTGTGGCTATAAAAGGTAAACCCAGAAGTAGAACTGCCATAGATGCCATAGCTAGTTTTTTTTTTTTAATAAAATAATTAAAAATCCTTTGACTTTTCATGTTTTATTGTGATTGGAAAGGTTACTACTATTTTATATGCAGTATGTTTCTTTTTCTTTTCTTTTTTTTTGAGATAGAGTCTCAAGCTGTTGCCCTGGGTAGAGTGCTGTGGCGTCACAGCTCACAGGAACCTCCAACTCTTGGGCTTAAGCAATTCTCTCGCCTCAGCCTCCCAAGTACCTGGGACTAAAGGCACCTGCCACAACGCCCAGCTATTTTTTGGCCTGGGCTGGATTTGAACCTGCCAGCTCTGGTGTATGTGGCTGGCGCCCTAGCCGCCTGAAGTACAGGTGCCAAGCCTGCAATATGATTCTTGAGCAACATCTGAATTGATACTCTTTTTTTTTTTTTTTTTTTGAGAGTCTTGCTATGTCATACCCTTGGTAGAATGCTGTGACATCACAGCTCACAGCAACCTTAAACTCTTGGGCTTAAGCCAGTGGTTCTCAACCTGTGGGTCACGACCTCTTTGTAACAATGAAAATAAATCCTGTATATCAGATATTAACATTATGATTCATAACAGTAGCACAATTAGTTATGAAGTAGCAACAAAAATAATTTTATGGTTGGGGGTCACCACAACAGGAGGAATTGTATTAAAGGGTTGCGGCATTAGGAAGGTTGAGAACCACTGGCTTAAACGATTCTTTTGCCTCAGCCTCCCAAGTAGCTAGGACTACAGGTGCTTGCCACAATGCCCAGCTATTTTTTTTTTGGTTGTAGTTGTCATTGTTGCTTGGCAGGCCTGGTCTGGATTTGAACCCGCCAGCTGCGGTGTATGTGGCTGGTGCTCTAGCCGCTGAGCTACAGGCGCTGAACCTGAATTGATATTCTTAAATTAACAGTAGGTTTGTGTATTTTTCTATAGGCAGGAGTATTGCGATTATAGCTCATGGTGTTTATATTTTGATGATCATTGAGTCCTGAGGTGGCTTTAGAGTGGCTTTGACTAGAGGGGTCATATTTAGTGGTTTCTACCTTGATTTCTTGCCAACCTAACATAACTGACTTTAGTGGTTTTGGCTAATGAAAGTGTCTTCTAGTTTGTGGTAGTTTTAAACAAATGTAACTAGAATGTAAAACTGGAGAGAGGTTTAATTACTGGCAAATCAGGGACAGTGAAACGTTATTCTTCTTCCTTTCCAGTTATACATGGGAAGCTGTTGATACCCAAAATAACATACTTTATAAAATCAACGTCTGTGGAAGTGTGAATATCGCCCAGTGTGGAGCATCAAGTGCCGTTTGTATGCACAATGTGAAGACAGACACCTACCGTTCAGTGGGTAAGTAGAAAGAACTTAAGTTGCTGGATGGGTGGTGTGGTCCCCAACTTTGCCAAAATGACTTTGTGTGTAGCGATTTGTATGTAGCTATATTTGTATACTCAACTATATGCATTTATAATACATAATATACATATATTTTGTGTTTTATAATAGTTGAAAATGGTAACAATTTGAACATTCAATATGACGTAAAATTAGGTTACTTCCGTCCCGTGGGTCCTATGCAGAGGGTCATTGTGAAGAATTATGTAGAGGTGTATGTGATGTAGAAAGATGTTCCCTGGGTAGTTCTCGCTCCTCTCCCATGTTTTTCTTAAATGCTCTTTCACCCCTATTTCCTTTGTGTCCCTCTCTCCCATCTCCCTTGTACCTTCTAGCTTCTGTGGTCATTTGATTCTTAGACTGTGCATCTTCACAAACTGATCCCTCATGTTAGGCTCTTATTAATAGTTAAACAACCTGAGAAGAATCTCAGAGAAGGAAGTGCAACCTTTCTTTTCCTAGGGCTCATTTCATTTCCCCAAGTACCCCCTTCTGGTCAGGATCCCTCTCCTGTGTCCTTCCGTGAGGAAGGTGGGTCCAAGTAGGTTGGCAGCCTTGCTGGGTTATGGAGACAAGGGGTAGGACAGCTGCCTGATGGAGGACAGAGCAGAGGTGGGAGCAGGGCACGGGGTCCTTGGTGACTTGTGACCCAGGCAGTTGGAATGGTGAGGTTTGCTCTTGGTAGATAGGTGCAAGATGGAGAGAGTGTGTGACCAGGGAAGGCGTGGTACCTAGAAGAGGACGCTGGATAGGTGGGATTCAGGAGGGGAAGCTTCCTGTAGTGGTTCCGTCTCTGGTTTTGATTGGAAATTCCCATACCCGGTGTTAAGGGCTATTTAGAAAGCGGTGCTTGGAGGGAGGAGATACCGCAGTGCTGGTTCTTGAACACTGAGGCTCAGCCCCAGTCGGATTTCCTTCTCTCAACACAGAGACTGTCCAGACTGAAAACAGTGGCCAAGAACATTTGAGGCCCAGGACAGAGATCTGAGAAAGCACCAGCTCGTTCTGAATTCCCAAGTTGGACAAATGTTATTATGTGGTAATATTATACTTAGGAAATTTGTAGGTGAGATCGCCAGTTTTCTCATTCTGATCATTTAACAGTTCAGACAGAGAAAGGCTGTTAGTGAGTGTGTTGCCAGTGTTACTCAGGTTTTTAGAAAGAGGACAAGGTTTTCTTTTTGACAAAGGATGTGTGTCTCTAGTCTGTAGTAACATTGTAATACAGTGTAGTTAATAGAACACAGACTAATGCCACACGCAGGCCAGTTACCAGGAGGAGGATCTGTAAGGTTGGCCTCACTGGACACAATCTGAGTATAACCAAGTTCTGTAGACTTTGAAAACAAGGAAGGAGAGTCAGTATTTTCTGATAAGTAGCGGATCCGTCACAGATTTTTTTTTTGGTGGCCATCAGGGAGGTGCTAATGTGATGGAAGGTGTCTTTAGAAAGTTGACTCCGTGGAATAGGAAAGGTTTTTTCAAAGAGAGAAACCAAAGATGGTTAAGTTAAGATATAGATGAGTCAAGGCTAAGTTACAGTTTAAGTTGATGATGATATAAATTGGCAGATTCCAATCTCAGTTTTACTCCTGACACACAGCAGGTACCTTTCCTAGAGCTTCAGGCTTCCAGGAGTGATGATACTTTCACAACTACCAGTAATCACTCCATTTCATCATCAAGAAAGCAAATTGTATGAGTGAATGAGAGTGACGACAACATTTGCATAGGGATAATCTTTTTTTTCTATTTTTAAAAAATTTTTATTTATTTTGAGACAGAGCCTCAAGCTGTCCCCCTGGGTGAAGTGCTGTGGCATCACAGCTCACAGCAACCTCCCAACTCCTGGGCTTAAGCGAATCTCCCACCTCTGCCTCCCAAGTAGCTGGGATTACAGCGTCCACCATAATGCCTGGCTATCTTTTGGTTGCAGCCGTCATTGTTGTTTGGTGGGCCCAGGCTGGATTCGAACCCGCTAGCTCAGGTGATTGTGGCTGGTGTCTTAGCCACTTGAGCCACAGGCGCCGAGCCTATAGGGATAATCTTGAATCACATCTAATTTTGCTAATTTGTATATGCGATAAAAATAACTAAGTTTGTTGTGCATTTATGTGCCAGGTTTAATGTTTTTAAGTAAAATATCTCACGTAATTCATTTAATTCCCTTACTTATAAATGAAGAAACTAAAGCACAGCCTGGGTGCCCGTAGCACAGTGGTTATTGCGCCAACCACATACACCGAGGTTGGCAGGTTCGAATCTGGCTTGAGCCAGCTAAACAATAATGACAACTGCAAGAAAAAATAGCTGGGTGTTGTGGTGGGTACCTGTAGTCCCAGCTACTTGAGAGGCTGAGGCAAGAGAATCACTTAAGTGCAAGAGTTTGAGTTTGAGCTGCGATGCCACGGCACTCTACTGAGGATGAGATAATGAGACTCTGTTTCCAAAAAAAAAAAGAAAAAAGAAACTAAAGCATGAAATGGGTAAGCGTCTTGCCAGAGGTTGTGTGGCTGTGGATTTGAATGCTGATAGACCATCTCCAGAGCCTGTATGCTTATTGATGGCTGTGTTCTGAGTGCCTGGGTCCTGTCTGACAGGCAGAGAGCTAAAGTAGGAACTAGGATGGGAAATCTGAGTGTGTGGCCCTGAGAAACCAACTTCTTACCAACTTGCTAGAAAGGAAAATTGTGGCCTGCCATGGTGGTTCAGGCCTATAATCCTAGCACTCTGGGAGGTTGAGGTAGGTGGATCACTTGAGCTCAGGAATTTGAGACCAGCTTGAGCAAAAGCGAGACCCTGTCTCTACTTAAAAAAAATAGCTGGGGCTGGGTGTGGTGGCTCATGCCTGTGATCTTAGCACTCTGGAAGGCCAAGGCAGGTGAATTCATTGAGCTGAGGAGTTTGAAACCAGCCTGAGCAAGAGAGAGACCTCATCTTTACTAAAAAAGTGAAAAAAAAAAACAAAACTGAGGCAAGAGGATTGCTTGAACCCACGAGTTTAAGGTTGCTGTGAGCTAGGATGGTACAGCACTCTACCAAGGGTGACAGAGTGAGACTCTGTCTCAAAAAGTAGCTGGGCTTTGTGGCGGGCACCTGTAGTCCCAGCTAGTTGGGAGGCTAAAGCAAGGGGATCACTGGAGCCCAACCAAGAATTTGAGGTTCCTGTGAGCTATGATGCCATGGCACTCTTTCCAGGGAACAGAGTGAGGCTGTCTCAAAAAAAAGAAAAAAAAATAATGTGAACTTTCAAGACCACTACAAAAACTGGAGCTCCCCATAAATAGAGGAAATGGAGAACTGGTATAGAAATAGCTCCAAATACGTGTATATGTGGTAACGTGAGCTCAAACAAAAATGTTGAGTGTAATTAGCTATTGTCTGTTAGAAAACAAAATTAGACCCTTCCTTCCTATCATATACGGAAATAATAGATCAGTTAAAATTTGGTAGGCAAAAAAACAATAGAATGTTGGGGAGAATGTAGTAAAATGTAATCTGGAGACTTCCTTAGAGAAACAGGGAAACCATAAGAAAGAATGAGACTGTTTCTGCCTGAGTACACGTTAATGGCAAAAGGCCGTCCCTGTGACAAAAGACACGTGCTAGACTGAGAGAAGGATTTCCAGCATATGTGCCAACACGCTGTGAGGGTGAGAGTTTTTCTTAAAAATTGGTAAGACAGACAGACCACCTGGGAGACTCTGAGAACAGGCAATTCACAAAAAAAAGAAATGCAGCTGGTCAGTACAACTTCACTAGTGAGCCAGGTGCTAAGGCAAATCAAACAATGATGCTATCTCATTTTTCTTTGATTGAATTGGCAGAAATTTAAGTGGTTGAATCATAGAATGCCAGCATGGAGCCTGGAAATGGGCATATATATATATTAAAAAAATATATATATATATATATATTGCTAGAGGAAGGGGAATTGTCCATGTGAATTCTTTATAGTGCCCTCAAAGGCAGTTTTTGTACTAAGAAAAATGTTCCCAGAGAGTGTGCTGGGATTACAGGTGTGAGCCGCTGCTACACCCAGCCCCTTCTGATTTTCTTAATAACATTTTCTTTTTTTTTGGTTTATTGTAAGAATATAATATGCAATGCACATCAGCATATAAAACATGTTAATTGTTTATGTTATCAGCAAGGATTCTGGTCAACAATAGGCCATTAATAGTTAAATTTTAGGGGAGTAAAAGTTATACTCAGAGTTTTGACTGTGTGAGGGTTCAGAGCCCCTAAGGGTCAACTATTTATAAAATGTATGAATCATTGTAAATCATTGTAAAATGTGTTGAAGATAAGATTAAGTTTATAAATGGGACCAAACTTGTGCACAGGCTCCATAAAAATGGTTGTTAAAATGTGTGAAGTCATATATATAATATCATTTGCCTAAGGAGAAACTAATGCATGATTTTTAAAATTTAAAATAATGTACTATCTCTCTTTTTTTTTGAGACAGTCTCACTATGGCCTCGGTAGAGTGCTGTGGTGTCACAGCTCATAGCAGTCTCCAACTCTTGGTCTTAAGGGATTCTTTTGCCTCAGCCTACCAAGTAGCTGGGACCATAGGCGCCCACCACAACACCCGGCTATTTTTTTGCAATTCTCATTGCTGTTTTAGCTGGCCAGGGCCAGGTTTGAACCCCTCACCCTTGGTATATGGGGCTGGCGTCCTACCCACAGCCACAGGTGCCACCCAGTAATGTACTATTTTTTAAACCTAATTTGGGGTGTGGAAAAACCCAAATAATCATAAGGAAGAGAAAATACACTTACTAAGTGTAAATGGAAGGCATCACAACAGTCTCTACCGTTGTGTTCACCTTGAGTAGGCTGAGGAAAGGGAGAGAAGTTGGTTTTTCTGTCTCCAGGGGTGGCAGAAGAGAAAGAACGTCTGTGTCCAAGTGGACCTGTGAAGTTGAAGACTCTGTTCGATGGTCAGC